GTATAAATCTACTGCAGCACGCCAGCTTCCAAGCGGGACGAGACAAAGCTCCCCCGGGAACCTTTCGGAGCAACCGGCTATCCACGAGCGTTTATTGAAGGGACTCGAAAGCCACTAAAAACGCGGACCGAGGAAAGTTGCCCATCAGAGTCATGGCGGAGCACCTCGTACATGAAAGGGGTCTCCGAAGTTGTGGCTCGACCTCTCGCGCCTCTCAGAATAGGGGTTGCCCAAAAACCTACCTGCACAATTCGGCAACAAGTAATGTGGCCGGAAGACCCTATATCTTAACAGGAGAATTCATTTATCGTCTACCGACTTCATTGCAGTTACAGGATGTGCAATTATGTTGGAGAAACCGGCCGACAACTACAAACGCGAATGCATGAGCATAAGCTGACTGTAAGAAGGTTGGACCCAAAGTCGGATGTGGCAACCCATGCTGCAGATATTGGACACGAATTAAACTTTGACGCAGTTGAAATTGTGGGCCGAGGTGATTCTCACACATCAAGGCAAATTAAAGCAGCTTGGATGCTAACCGACTGTTCAGTAAACCACCACATAAATTTACCGGTCCCCTATTTTATTTTAAGAACCTTCTTATCCGGGGACAGACATGACAGGGAACAACCGGGGCCGTCAACCAGCAACGCGACCAACGTGAATTGGTCTGAAACAAGTCGGGGCGCGACAGGGGCCAACAAAACGAACGCACATGAGGGCGAAAACAACACACGCGGCACGGTGACAGACAGATTAAACGAGGAGGCTGACGGCGAGGCGCGAGACACACATAGTGACTCAGTCATGATTGGTAGCACACGCACACGGAAGAAGGAGCAGCTTAAACAGGAGGACCATGAGTCAGAGCGTCCATTTTCTGAAAATGGGTAGAAAAGACACCTACTCTAAATGTCAGGCTTATAATAAACCTCTCCCGATGAAGGCTCCTCTTTCTACAGATTTACAACTTAGGAATCGAGTTTTCAGTACTATTACTTATTGTCCATTTAGTGAGTATGTGCATTAAAGCAGTTGTTGTAACGCATTCTGCCGGAGTTACTTTAAATCGCCTCGTGCCGGGTCAATGCGTATAATCAAAATCTGCTTATATGGTACAGATTCCAATACCAAAAGTCCTTAAGCCGTCACATTCCTCCCGCTTGAGATAAGTCTGTTTTTTACCGTATTCTCGTTCAGCTGCAAATGTGGGATCCAAAGTACTTTATCGGTTAAAACCTAGCTCGCATAGAGGTGCCGTAGATTGCACATTATCCAATGTAAGCCGACCAGGTGCACCTGTTAAACTCAATGTCTGTTTATATAGTGGGTGGACAGTTTTTGACATAATATTACCAACCCGCCCAGAATAAACTTGACGAAAAAAATTTGAAACAAATGATTACAACTTCACCCGCTTTATATCCGGACTTAACGATAAACATTTCGGGTAGCACTGTCCTTAGAGGCCCTGTTGGCCTTTAACTTATAATCATAAACTACTTTTGCATTTTCAGTAGCTCGGCTGTCCATCTTTCGTTAAATTCTGCCAATATACGGTCCGATTTCCGCCAATAGGCATCAGTTGCCTGAGCAACAGGAGTTCATTTTGATGGAGTTGATTATACTTAGCTCAATACAAGCAAACATGCGAGTCCCAGGAAGTAATTGAGAAGTTGAAGACAACTCGATCGCTGGGACACTATGTTTATTTGCCTGACGTACAGAAAAAATCGATAAATATCCTGGGTGTGTTTTGATTCGTCGCGTCAGCCACGACCATCCGGCCTCGCGGTGTTGGCATAAGATGATGTGGTGTTCTGTGAGTATGTCTCTGAAGATGAATCCGTGACGGATATCGAAACGTCAGGCAAATAAACATAGTGTCCCAGCGATCGAGTTGTCTTCTACTTCTCATATACTTAGCTCATCAGAGCAATTACTAGTGGCTTTAATTTAATGTTTTTTGATCACTTTCACCACACTTGAATATCCATTAATACTCGCTAACCAAGAATTAAACGTTTAACCACCAATTCCATAAGACGCTTGGGCGGGGAATATATATTTAGGCGGCCCTACAAGACAGTTTTGTCACAGTTCGCTTTTGAGACCGCGGTGTAACCCTCCTAGACAGGTGTAGGCCTTTGCCAAGCTACAAAAAAGAGCGAATAAGCCGGAGAAGCAGAAGAAAGTATTGAAAAAGGAGGAGGCATTTGCCTTTGTGCACAGAACTTTTCTCATATACACATTCACTTGTCATAGTTTCTTCAAAAAATCTAGTTACGCCATCTTGCAAAGTCAGTGCCGCTCCAGCGGAACGGAAGCGATATGGTGAACACCTGACAAGCTCTTAGCACCGCCTCCACACACCCTCACAGCTCTGAGTAATCTATTGAGACATACCATTGGTTGCTTATGCGGATACAGACCCTGTATGCTAACAATAAAAGGCGGCGATTTGCGGGGTCAGCTACTGTCAGTGTTTGTCCTGTTAGAAATCTTCGCATGCCCAGGTAGGTCGGCTTCTTATCATCTCAAACGGTCATCTGATTGCAGTCCGCAGGAGGTTGAGGTATTCTTTCGCCAACTGGACGTTGATGGAAATCGCAAGATCTCCGCAGATGATCTCCTTCAATGCCTGAACCTGGAAGGCATCACAAAGGCAGATTTTGAGGAATTTATCGCCTCATTCGACGTCAACGACGACGGCTGCCTGGACGAGGACGAACTGCGTAATGTCTTACTGTCACTGGGTTTCTAGATATTTAATTTGTCTCAGACATAAATTCTGCTTTGAAAACACTTGGCTTCTTCATGCACAATATCGAAACTTCGAAATCAGTTATATTTACAGAGTCCACCTTCGTGGGTAAAACTATGGGGGCGATAGACCTGTAAAAACGTAATTTGAGGTACCAGCCTGTACATTTTCATTTCCTCTTGATGTTCCGAAATGAGCCGCAAACGCCCTTTCGCCTCATTTATGAATATATTCACAGGTAGCTTTTATTTAAGAAGGCAATTTTAGCGAGCGGTGACGAATGCCACTTACTTCAAATATGCGCAGATAAAACCCTTAGTGTATGTGCGTTTTGGAGAATTTTAGTCCGCAGTTTTAAGTCTTGGCAGGCATCCCGTCAAAATCTATTAACGCTCGCGCAATTTCTATGGTGGCACAAGTAACTATCATGCTGTTGATTTTCGGTATACGCCGAATCAGAGTATCTAATTGTGTTTAACAGTTGAGGCGGTTAATTGTGATGTAGTCATTGCTTCGGAAATCTTAGGAGGGGTGCTTAAAACAATAAAGGTCACAAGTTCAGTTCAAGTCTGCTATCGGAAGAAGAATCCATATCGTAAGATTTGGGTAAATTGAACGAGAGATTGTCAATAGAAAACTTGGAATTGGCAGCAAATCTTCACTTGACGCTGTAGTCAAATGAACCTCCCAGGACAAGTCATACTAGGCAGTTCGAATATCTGCACCTCACAACAGCATCGTTAGTGAGGCACGCAAACAGCAATTTAACTTGAACACGAATTGGTGTTACTGAGATCCACTGGTGCTGATTATGTATTTACTTGCACCCTGTACTGGGTGCAGTCTGACACAACAGTACTGTCTTCTCAGAGGAAAGAGTTCAATTCAGATCAGTATCCTTGGTGCAAATAGGGGCGGAGTTAGGCCAAATTGAACGTTTGTTGATATCCGAGGAATTTCCTACGCTATTAAACGCTGTGAAAAAACTTATTGTTTCTGCGTGTGGAACTATAAAAGAATATTAATATCAGCTAGAAAAGTTTTAACTATGTCTTTTTATAGAACGAAAAAGTTCATCTTGCGTTCATGAAATTGAGGTAAATGTGGATAGGATAAAGCGTATTATTTTCGGGAAAAGTGGAACAGATTCAGTTTAGAATATCATATTTTGCAAATCTGCTTAGTTTTGTGCCATAAAATTAAGTAATAAACTTATAAGGCTGTAATCTGTTTTACCCCACCGTAAAGAAGCGTATATACAAACACCCGAGACCTGCCGTAAATTTTCTTTGTCAAGCTGTATGCAAACGATCTCCAAGCATCTATTTATAGAGCAAGATCAAGGAATAGAAAAGGATTATTTTCAAGCTGATTTCTACTTCTGCTGCTTAATTCACTCGTTTTTTTACATGAATAGACTTTATCTACATTTAAAACTTAGATTTACACAGTAACCCAAATTGTTCGCTTTTTCGGAATTTTCCGGTTTTCTTAAGTAAATGTAATTTCCAGAAAAGTCAATATTGCTTGATAAACCACAACATATCTTATTTTTTATTACGATTGCTGTAAGAGTTTGGGAGCAACATCTTGGGCTGATTTTGCGTAACAGGCGTCTTCTTGTAAAAATCATTGGATCGCTTCAAATAGGCAGTCAACTATACCAGCTGACTAAGCCTTCGCTGCGGTCTTCAGCTCGTGCTGTTCACCGAGGCAATGCAAAGTAGACTGACTGCGTATTCGCCAGAGCCGAGAGTCTGCTAAGTTTGTAGCTGACCTTGGCTGAAGATCGTTCCAATATCCACCACCTGTGGATGCGCCAGTTAGACTAAAGGGTTACTAGTCTTCCTGGGCCTGGCGTATGAATTAGGTTACAGTTACAGGAAACTTGCACGGCATCTACTGCACTCTCTTTACTTGATTAACACTACCTTTAGATCAGGATTTACGGTACCGGAAGGGATTACATTAAAACGTTCCCTGCTGAAGTTTATTTTATAGAGCAAGGCGAACTATACTGTTCTAAATGAAGCAAATATGCGTGCCCCAGGTTCTTGTTGTAACGAAGAGGAAGACGCGACCTCTGGAACAATAGTTGTATCTCTGAGCTTTCGGCTCCACACGAGAAGCTATCGTCAGAGTAAATGAGAACAGCAAACGTCAGCTACGCATAAATGGGATTGGTGGGGGAGGGGGGGGGTAGTGGCAATTATTGATTGGTCCCTGTCCACGCTAAGTCCATTCTCACGTTATCTTATACTGTTCTGTGATATTAAATAACTAGGGGAATTTCTTGGATCTCCGGAAATCTCCGACTTTGCCAAAACTCTTCCTA